ACAGAGAAGCACCAGTGACATCTGGAGTCACCTCCGCACTGAGCACGCCCGCACCGGCCGGCTCCCACCCACAGCCCAGGAGTCACCTCCCCACTGAGCACACCCGCACCGGCCGGCCCCCACCCACAGCCCGGGAGTCACCTCCGCACTGAGCATGCCCGCACCGGCCTGTCCCCCACCCACAGCCCGGGAGTGCAGAGCGGGGCGCTGGGGCGGCCCCAGCCACGGGCACCGGGTGATGGGTGTCCAGGCGACCGGCCACCTGGGAGCACCCCAGTCTTTGTGCTTTGGTCACAGGGAGCCCCCCCCGGGAACTCCAGCGGTGCCGGGGCAGGGCCAAGGCTCCCGGGTGGGCGACGAGGCAGGTGGACGGGCAGTGCCCCCAGGAGCAGCGACAGCCAGGCGGTCCCGCCCGGCCTGGTCCCGAGCCAGCTCCGTGGCCTCCGATAGCCGCCCAGGCAATGCCGCTCCTGCGCTGGACCTGCTCACAGCAGGAGGAGGCTGGGGCTGCGGAGCTGCTGGTACACCTGCAGGAGACGCTCGGCCGTGGCCTGGAGCTGGCCTCGTCCTCTGTGCACAGCCGGTCCCGCAGGGCCTGCACCTCCGGCAGCAGCGTCTCGTGGTTGGCCTGGATCTGGTGGAGATGCTGCACGAGGAGGTCGGGTGGGCTGGAGCCCCGGGCGGCCTGCTCCACCACCATCCTCTGCATGTGCCCGACGACAGCGTGGTGGGCCCTGCACATGTTGGCCAGCGACGAGCTCTCCACCTGGATCTCCACGGCCTGGACGGGCCCCGCCGGGCACAGGTTGGCCACCGCCACCTCGTGGACGATGAGGCAGATCTCGGTGCCGTCTGGGGCCACGGCCTGGACAGAGGTCAGGGCTCGGGCCCGCACAGCGTCCACGGTGGCACAGCACAGGGACACGCCTGAGTAACTGTCCCCCAGGGCAGCTCTGAGCAGCTCTGCTGACACCCGGATGGCGGCCACGGACGGCGGCAGGCACTTGGCGAACAGGGACTCGGACCCCACTGGCTCGCTGCCCGGCCACCAGCAGGTTTCCAGGAAGGTGCTCACGGGGTCGCTGGGAGGGTGGCAAGGCGCAGGGGCCTGCACGGGGTGGGGGTGAGGGGTGCGCAGCCAGGCCCGGGAAGCACAGGCCCTGCATGTCCACTGTGTGCTCGCTCACAGACACTCAAACAGCTGCACCTCCCACTGGGCGGGGCCCTGCGCCAACGCGATGAGCAGGTCGCCCAGCACCGTGAACGCGCACAGCGTGGTGTCGGGGAGCACACGGGTGTCTGGGTCCACAGGGGTCACGGGGGAGGGGGACTCGCTGTCCTCGTCGTCGTCCCCATCACTCTGGCTCACAGACCTGCAAGCCTGGTCCAAAGACAAGCAATAGATGCCCCTCCGCGCGCACAGGACGAGGAGGAGCGCCCGGCGAAGGGCCGCGGTCAGCTGCCTCGCCTCCCGGTCGTAGACGTAGACCAGCTCCCTCGGGCGGCCAGGAAGACCTCCGCGCCGAGGGGCAGCACCCGGGGCCCACCCGCCGTCAGGCCCCGACTGGCAGCTGAAGCCGGCCAGGTAGTGCACGGCAGAGCCCGCGAGCTGAGTGAGCCTCCACAGCGCCCCCTCTTGCAAACTCAGGGAACCGGAGACCCCGGCCGAGCAACGTGCCCCAGGTCACACCTGCACAGGGTCACACAGCCATGCCAGCGCCAGGGTGAGCAGGCCCAGCTCTCCCTTCCCACGCCCAGAGGCGGCCCAGCGGGTGCCCCTCTTTCTTCCTACTTCTCCCAACTCCGTGCCCCTTGGCTCCCCCGGGAACGGGCTGACATTCACCGTGATCAGCTCGCTTCCCCCTCTCCCCGCAGCCGAGAGCTAACTGTCCTGATTTTCTTCCAAGAACGGGCTCTGAATAGCCTCGCGGCACAATTAGGCACTCGGCCTGGCTCTCACACTCCGGCTCTGAAAAGAAATCAAATCAGGAAGCGGCCGCGTGGAAGTTCCCGGAGAGCCGCTCTGTGCGGGGAACAAAGCGCACACAGGATCGCCCGCTTAGCTGATGAGCTCCGGACCGGCCCCGCTGGCAGGGAGAAGCCCGCCCCCCCCCGCAATCAGCCCCCCAACCACCCCACCTCTCACCGGGGGCGGCTATTCTTGGTGCATGTGTGGGTGGCGATACCCTCCCCGCTCAGGCCTGGCCATGTGCAACTGCAGGCCGTCGTCCCAGCCTAGACGCCAGGGGTGAAGCACTGGGGGGGGGGGGTGTACCCCTCCCTCCCCCCCGCCGAGAGCAGCAAGTCCAGTGGGTTCATGGGAAGTCAAGGGGCCCAGGGTCACACAGCAAGTTCAGGCCGAGTTTCCTGCGGGTGCTCCTGCCTCGTACTGACCACACAGCTCGTTTAAGATGCACGGTCTTCGTGGCCGGAAAAGACTTGGGCTTCCAGCCGACTACAGAACACGGGCCCTGGCCGTGGGGCTCGGTTGGACTAAAGAACATGGGCCCTGGCCGTGGGGCTCGGTTGGGTGGGCGTTGTCCTGTGCACCGAAAGGTTGCCGGTCCGATTCCCAGTCGGGGCACATGCCAGGGCTGCAGGCTTGACCCCCGCTGGGGGACGTGAAGGATCAGCGACTGAAACATCAGTGTTTCTCTCTGTCTCTCCCCCTCACTTCCATTCTCTCTGAAAATCAACAGGGAAAAATATCCTCGGTTGAGATTAACAACAACAAAAAAGTAGGGCTGCGTCCGGTTCTCATTCAAAACTGGCCTCCACCTCTTAGCCCGAGCGTAGGACATAAACAACTAATTCGTGGCAGAAGACGAGAGACTGTTCCATCCGAAGCTGCAGCCCCCACGCCCCGGCCCCGGGGCACCGCGCCTTCTGGCCACCATCTACCCGGGGCACCGCGCTTTCTGGCCACCATCTAATTGCTGGTCGCTCTCCTCTCCGCAGGTGAAGGGGCAGGGACGGCTCCCGGCTGCCTGGTGGGTGCGCTCCTGGGAGGAGGAGGCCGCTCCTCCTGGGAGCACAGACTGTCCCGCTGCTGGGAGCGGCCGTGCTCTGGGCAGCCCCTCCGCCCAGCTCCAGGGCCACGCGCTGGGCAGGTGATCATGGGAACTGGAATTAGCATAGTCTGTCCAGAGGCCCTCGTGTTCCAGACACAGAAAATGAAATGAGTGGGCCGAGGCCACCACAACTGTGTTCCACTCTCCTCCGGGTAAGGCAGGGGAAGGGGCGGGCACGGGCCCCAGGGCTGAATCTAAAGGGATCTGTTTCACCGCTGCCCAGGTTACAGGCAGGGAGAGGGAGAGGGGGCTCGGGCTCAGAGAGGCAGGTGCGCTGGGGCTGGAAAGCTATGGCTGAGGCCCCTTCACTCTCCCAGTCCCCCCCCCCCCCCCCAGGCAGCAGCGTGGAGCAGTGGAGATGGTGCCAGCCCGGCAGGGTGATGAGGGCAGGTTCAAATCCCGGCCCGGCCACTCGCACACTAACAACCTCAAACCACAGAGATGGCAAAGATTTTTTAAAAATATATTTTTACAGAAAAAAAATAAAATAAAATACATTTTTACCTTTCAAATATATTTTTATCGATTTCAGAGAGGAAGAGAGAAAAAGAGAGAGAGAGAGAGAGAGAGAAACAGCCCATCAATGAGAGAGAATCATTGATGGGCTGCCTCCTACACACCCCCCACTGGGGATCGAGCCTGCAACTTGGGCATGTGCCCTGACTGGGAATCGAACTGTGACCTCCTGGTTCAGAGGTCAACACTCAACCACTGAGCCACACCGACCGGGCAAGATGGGCAAAGACTTAACCGCCCTTTTCTGTGCCAGGACGATGGGCACATGTATCACCCACTTGTTCTCTCGACAGCCTGCTGCGATCTGCTCTTGCCATTTTGCAGATGGAAAAACTGAGCCCAGAAGAGTTAAGTGACCAGGATCTTCTGAGTCTTGAATTTTTTTTTTTTCGTCCATAAAGTCAATGTGAGATCCCCATTTCAAAGGACTGTGGCAAGGATTAAATACGGGAACATGATGAGAATGACCAGCACAGCAACTGATAGCAGGCGACATGCAAGAATGTTCTCTTCAGAAATGCACCCACTCACGTGTCACTCTTTTCATTCATTCATTCATTCATTCATGCACTCCTTTATTTAAAAATCCTATATAATAAAAGGCTAATATGCAAGTTGTCCCCATGGGCAGGAGTTCGACTTACCAGGAGTTAGACATGGGCTGACCACCAGGGGGCAGCGGGGAACATGGCGAGCATCCACAATGCGGCGCTGGCAGTGGAAGCGCTGCCAGCCCCGATGGTCCCGGACGAGAGTGGGACCGTGGCAGGACGGTGGAGCAGGTGAGCGGGCGGCGCCAGGCCAAGATGGGTGCGAGCTGAGGCCCCTATCGCCTCACCAGTTGCCCACAGATAGCACTCGCTCAGCGATGGCGGCGGGGGGCAAGGGGGATGGGGATGGCGAGCGGGTGGCACCAGGCCAAAGCAGGTGCCAGCGGGGGCCCTGATCACCCCACAGATCGGCCCTGATCACTGGCCAGGCCTAGGGACCCTACCCGTACACAAATTTTGTGCACCGTGCCTCTAGTCTATATATATATATATATATATATAAGGCAGCTGCCGGGAGTCGGGGAAGACGGGGACGGAGCAGCCACCTGTGGACCCGGCACCATGAAGGCCATTTGATTAGAGCATGTCAGGGACGAGGAGGGGACAAAAGCCAGGCTGCAGCCGGCTGCAGAGAGAAGTGAATCAGCACAAGATCCAATGAATTCTACTCATCCCCCGACTCAGCTCAATGCCGCCGCCTCCGGGCAGCCTTCCGTAAGGCTGTCCCACATGTGAGCCAGGTGGTCCCCAGGGGAAGGGCTGTGTCTCTGTCGCCTGCATCCTGGCACACGCTGGTGCTCCCCGTTCAGATGGCAGAAGGAAACGCAGAGACTTTCCCAGAATCCTCTTCTCCCAAGCAATGAGTCATGCCTCCCCGGACAATTGCCGTGTCTGTATTGCTGGGAGATTATTAGTGCAATGAAGAGACCTAATATTGCATTAATTTGGTTGTGAATGATTTGTATTGTCACGGTCGTTAGCTCGGTGAGAGCGACGTTGTTTTAATTTAATCTGGCTCCTTGTGCATTCTGTCAAAACTTCCCCAAACAGTGCAACCGGAATCGAGTTTCAGAACAGACTGAATTCCAAGCTTATAGAAGGGGGGTGGGGGGAGCCCAGCCTGCAGCTGCCGCACTCCAGCCGCCACCTCCGGAGGGAGAGCACAGCCAGCAGGTGCTGACAGGGAGCCCTGCCACCCTGCGGGTTCCCTGCCACACCTGGGGGTTCCCTGCCACCCCTGGGGGTTCTCTGCCATCCTGGGGGTTCCCTGCCACCCCTGGGGGTTCTCTGCCATCCTGGGGGTTCCCTGCCACCCCTGGGGGTTCTCTGCCATCCTGGGGGTTCCATCGGGAGCCAGAGCCAGGCCCCAGGCCCCGCTTCTGCCATCTCTCCTGCTCCCAGGACGCCTGGCTCTCGGCTTCACAGGCTCGGTCCCAAAGACGGAATTTCTATTTCCATTCCACGTGATATTTAATGAAATGACTTCCAGGCCCCACGCGGCGTCTGAGCTGTGAAGCCACAGCCTCTGGATCCCCGCACGACCCCCAACGGCAGGCCCCTCACGTGGCTGCAGGAGCCGCCCCGCGTCTTTGAGACGTGCCCTCCTCAGGGGGCAGCGACAGCAGCTCTGCCCCCTCCTGCCCCGCCTCCCTCTCCAGTCCAGCTGTTCAAAAGCACCCGGGGCCCGGGAAGTCGATTGAGGGGCTGCTCACAGCACTTGTAGGAAAGGAAGTGAAACAGGACGGCTGGACAGCAGTGGGTGCAGCACACGGAGAGGGGCCGCTGGCAGGACACGGGCTGTGAGCGTCACGGGAAGGAGGGCTCTGCAAGGAACGGGAGGCTGCCTGGCCCGTGGCTCCACTGGTTGGAGCGTCGTCCGTGCACCGAAAGGTCTCAGCTTCAGTTCTCGGTCAGGGACACACCCAGGTCGATCCCTGGCAGGGAGTGGACAGGAGGCAGCCATGGATGTTTCTCTCTTTCCCCCTCTCCCTTCCTCTCTCTCTAAAGTCAATAAAAATAAATTTAAAAAATAAAAGAAGCCCAGCCGGTGTGGCTCAGTGGTCAAGCATCGACCTATGAACCAAGAGGTCACGATTCGATTCCCGGGGTCAGGGCACATGCCTGGGTCTCGAGCTTTGGGCTCGGTCCCCCGTGATGGCCATGCGGGAGGCGGCCAATCCGCGACTCTCTCATCACTGATGTTTCTCTCTCTCTCCCTTCCTCTTTCTGAAATAAAAACACAACCATATTTAAAAAGAAAATGAACGAAACACAAAGAATGCAGCTCTCCTCCCACCACCCTCGCAAGCTTTCTGAAAGGTGCATCGGCTGGCGTCCCCCGTCAGCCGGGACTCGGTGCGGGTTAGGGACAGAGTTCAGGTCCCTCATTATGGCACAAAGTCCCTCAAGGCCTGGCCCCCGTGCACCCTGGTCCCCACCCTCCCCACTGGAGAGCAGGGGGTCCGGCCGCCCCCTCGGGGCTCAGCTTACCGAGAGCTCGGCTGAGCGGCCAGTGCGTGAGGTCCCTGGGCCGCCTCCTGGCGACGCTGCTGCACCTGCTGACCTCCTGGGCGAAGAAGGGTCCCTGGGTTGTACAGAAGGAAGAAGTGACTGTTCTGGAAGCTTCTGCTCAGAGAAGCGAGCCCTCCAGTTTCTCAACCACTTGGCCACTCAGAACAGGAATTCCACCTACACCCCGAACGGCTCGCCAGGTCACCACCGGACCAGCATCAGACGGTCACTCCCGCGGCAGCTCAAAGCTGGACCACGGGAGAGCCAACAGCTTCATCAAACCCCGTCCCCACCACCCCCTGTGAACACCTGGGCAACTCAGGTGCCAAGAACACGGAAGAAGAAACCAACTGCGCGGTGGCAAGTCCACGTGAGGCCTGTCCCCGCCCTCGGCTGCCGTTCTGCCCTCGCCGAGCCCGGGAAGGGAGCGCAGCCTGGCCCAGAGCTGGGGACGCCGTGGAAGGAGGAGCCGGAGTCCACCCTCCCTCCAGGTTCCAGGCCCCGAAGGCCTGACCCCAGGTCACGGACAGTCTCCAGAAGGCCCTGCGGGTGAGCGGCGGCGGCGGCAGGATGGACATAGCGTCAGCCATTCAGTTAGCATCTGCGGCCACTCGCAGGTTAGCCAGGCTGGGACGAGGGGAAGAGGAGCGAGGGGAGAAGGCGGGGTGCAGAAGTGAGCCCATGGACCGGCCACCCTCAGGGACCATGATCTACACAACCACTCTCTCACTTAACCCCAGCAGCATGACCCTCCTGCAACAGTAGCTTCCCAGAGGCAGGCCCTCACTTGTTCATTCACTCAGTCACTCACTCATTCACTCATTAATTCACTCATTCACTCATCCATTCATTCATTCACTCACTCATTCACTCATCCATTCATTCCATAAACATTTACTGAGAGAATCCAGAGCGCCACGCCCGGGCCAGATGCTGGCTGAGGTACTACGGGGACAGCAGACCCTTCCCTGACCTCAGGGGACTCACACCTGGAGGGAGGGGGGGTCAGAAAAGGGATGGGCAGGTGTGATTCCGTATGTGAATCCCCGGAGCAGGTACTGCGGAGCCCTGGGCACGGGGGCACCTCTCACCAGTCGTGCCCGGTCTTGGGAGGCGCCTGGACAGGTGAGCTCAGGGTTGAGGCTGAAGGAGCAGGAGGCGCGGGACAGGTGGGGGCCCAGGTGAGGAGCCCCCCTGGGATCTGCACTGGGAGCGGGTCAGCGGGACAGGCTGCCGCTGAGGAAAAGGGAGGGACGGAGGCTCCCCCTGCTGGCCGCACGCGCAATAGCAGGTCCCCGGCCCCGCCCCCGCCGCCTGGATTTCGGACCCAGTACCCAGAACGGGGGATGCACTCGCGGAGCAAGGACACAGCAGATAGGGAGGCCCTCTGGGTGCGGCTTGGGGCGGTGTCCGTGGACACTCCAGTGGAGACGTCACGCTGAATGTCAGGCCTGGAACTGAACACCTGGCGCTGGGAGGCGGGGTGAGGAGCCTCGAGGAGAAAACTGCTGGAGCAGAGAGGAGAGGGGTGGCCCGGGGGGCGCGCGAGCAGGGGGCCCCCAGAGCGGTAGGTGGAAAGCCAGGTAGGGTGTGGGGTCAGGGAGCGGTGAGAATGGAGGCAGGGCCCTGGCCACCGGGGGCAGCACGACGGATGTAAAGGGGCTGCCCCAGTTCCTCCCTTGACCGCTGTGTGACCTCAGGCAAGTCACTCGCCCTCTCTGTGCCTCCGGCCCCTTTCCTGCGGTGAGAAGTGGAGGAGGATGGTGCCCGGTGACGAGAAGGCAAAGTCCCTGACTGGGGACAAAGCCAGGGGCACGGCCAGGAGGAAGCAGGGGCAAGAGGGCTGGCCGGCCGGGCGGAGCAGGAGGGGCTGACTCACCGGACGGATGTCACAGCCCAGGAAGGAGAAAGGAAGGAACGAGTCGGGGTGGGGAACCTCGAGGGCCCAGCCCTGCACCCGCCTGGCATTCTCCTGGCATCCGGGCAGCGCTGGCTGACAGGTAACGACTCCTGACCCCACCCCGCCCTTCCCCCTCCGTCCCTCTCCAACCCTCTCCCCCAAATTAAACCACTCAAGACTCTCAGACCCAACCCAGGGTCAGAGGTGAGGAGGGGCGGGCCTCCCAGGCTCCCTCGTGCCCAGGCCACTGCGGTGTGGGGCACAGGAGGGGGCTGAGGCCTGTGCCATCAGCGCGACCCCCGGCGCTGGCTCAGGGGGGCCGGGTGGGGCCTGAGAACCGGCGTTTCCAGCGAATACCCCGGTGACCACGATGCCTCTGGCCCAGGCCCGCCCTGAAGACCCACTACCCTTTGGGGGGTCCGTTCAGCCCGTGCCCAGCCCACAGCCCCTCCCTAGCCCTTTCCAGCCCCTTGGGGGGCCAGTGGGCCTCTGCTAACCAGGGGTCGGTCCCCACTTTTCCCTCCTCAGACAGCCCTTCCCTGACCACCGCCTGCAAGAGCCCAGGCCCTTCCTGAGCCCCCACCCCCTCCACCTTCCCCCCCTCCACTGCCCCACCCCCTTCACCTTCCCCCCCTCCACTGCCCCACCCTCTTCACCTTCCTCCCCTTCCACCCTCCACCGCCCCATCACCCCACCGGGTTCCAGGGAACCATCACCACCTGACTTACTGGGCGGCCAGTCGGCTGCCTCCGCCTCACAGCCCACGCAGCCTGGGCGCAGCTGCCGTTGCTTGTTGCCTCCCCAGCACCTGGCAGAGCAGGTGCAGAGCAGGCTTCTCAGAACCACCGAGAACAAGGCCTCCCACACCCCCCACCCCCCACCCCCGGCTGCTGGGTCTCTCACCTGTGCTGCTGCCTCCCCCACTTCCCCCCCAACCACAACAAGCAGGGTTATTCCTCTGCTCGGACTCCCTCCCGCCCTGGAGCTAATCCCCCTCCTCCCCTGACCTGGGGCCTGTGAACCTGAACCGAATGCTCTTTTTGTGGTTAATCCTCGCCCGCGGGTATTTCCCATTGATGTTTAGGGAGTGGAA